TGGGTGAAGCATGGTGTGACGCCCTGCGACATGGGACCTCTACGGACCTCTACGGTAATCATGAAGGCAGTCCTGGGTCACCAGGAAATATCCTAGCCAATGGGGCTCTCGGTAGATTGCGACATGCCTAGCGGGCAATGGGTTTATTATCGCTACAGATTACACAGTTATCTAAACGGACTAATCAACTGTATTCGGTGCTCTTCCCGTTTCCAGGCCCAAGATTCGAGTAACTTCTCTTGCCTCTAGCCGCCTTAGGTCGCTGAACCTCTTCTATGTTGCGGGGAATCATGTTTTCCTTATTTTGAACGGTTTAACCGTTGTCTCTTGTCTCGTCTTTTCACGGCTCTCTTGCGTGATCTTTTCGCGTTCTACTACCTGCGTGACGGTTTGAGGGTATGCAAACAGCGATATTTTTCTATTCCTACGCTCCTTGTAACTGCTTTTTTGCGGGTGGGGGGAAGGGGGAGGGGTCAAATACAAAAACATCGTAGTTTCGTTAGCCAAGAATAATCGGGCCTGCGTCGCTTCCCCTGCAGTACTTTTTACTTGTACAAGACGACTGCGGCTCCTAAAATTGACTCACAAAACTACACAACCTCCCACAAACATTACATACGCTGAGCGAACGCCAAACTAAGCCATATCATAACACCTAGCAACATCAGAGAGGTCCAGCGACCTAAGGAAGCATGAATGGCAAGGGAAGTTACTCTAATCCTAGGCTTTGAAAAGTAAACAGGTCCGGGTATTCGACTATGACATTTTCAAAGGACTACGAGAAAAGCGAAACACAAGATTCAAACACTTTTCGTCGCAGGCCTAGGAAATAAAACAGAAGCGATTATTTAAACAGCAAATCTAAAGCAAGAAGGAGTAAAAAGAACAGTTAAAACGGAAAGTAGAGACAGCGTTCAAACAATTGTCACTTGAAGTGGGCAATATTACGGATGAATGAAATAAATATAAAACCACTATACTTTGTACTGCAGAAGAATTGGGATAAAAACGAAAAAACGATAACAGACGGAGTTATAACAAATATTCCTTGATTTTGTGATGAAGTTAATGAAGCAGTTAAGAAGAAAAAAGACTTACATTAACAGTGGATAAAATCGAAGAGAGAAAAAGATTATGTGACCTATAGACTGCAACAGGGAGAAAACAACCGAAGGGTCAAGAAAGTAAAACAAGCATCATGGGAACGTTTCCGAAATTCATTACCAGAAAATGAAGAAACAGCAGGTAACACTTTTTTCTTTTTAGTCAAAAGTATGCAAAAAAGCGATGAGAGCTACAAACCTCAGAAAAATTATTATTAATAAGGCAGGGAGCCTTTAGTAGATTAACCAGAAATATCAGAAAGATAGAGGTCACCAGTAAATAACAACCCAAGACTACAGAGCTAAAATGCTAGAACCAGATATACTAACGAAATAGAAAGTTATTAAGCAGTCTCCCTAATATAAAGCATGAAAATATGATAGACTTCCAACAGATATCATATAGCATATGTCAGCAACACCAGATAGCTTTACAGAATATTGAATGCAGCATCAGTACAATAACATGCCCCATTGACTGACAACATGCAATAGTGTTACCATTATGGAAGAAAACAGGAAGCAAGCGAGAATGCAGTCAATACCGAGGCATGCCCAGGTCACAAAGACGAGGCTGTGACCAGTGATAGAACCAAAACTGACCGAAGAACAAGCGGGATTTAGGAGAAAGAGAAGCTGCACAGTCTTCGCGTTGAAACAATTAAAAAAAAAATCAGATAAGAACTTATTTATAGCATTTGAAGTCCAAGAGAAAAGCATTCAACAGAGTCGATAGACAAGTATAATGGAAAGTAAGGGCTTGATCTGGTGCAAGCGAAAACCTCACCAAAGTATGCAAAAGTTTATACGAAGCTAAGAATACACATAAAAGTTAAGATCGATAAATTACTGTTTGCTGATGACCAGGTCTTGACAGCAGATTCAGCCTTGACATTGTAACATCATCTAGCATGTATGACTGAAGAATGTAAAAATAATAATGTGAGAATCAACACTGAAAAGACAGAGATAATGTCAACAGGAAGAAAGACAATGAAACTAAAAATGGCCGTATAGTGCGATACATTAAAAAGTCATCCGTGCTTAAATATCTGGGGGAAACATTTACCGTAGATAGGAAATTGAATAGAGAAAAAAAAAATTACCCCCAGATGCAGTCAAGCAAACCAAGTATTGGGAGAGCTAGCTCCCCTATTACAGCATAAGACAATCTTAATCAGCAGAAAGAAACAACTCATACAAATCCTATTAATTCCCACCCTATGCTACCAGTGTCAGACATGGTCACTCACAACAAACCATTAAAGAATGGTAGTAACCACAATAATGAGATGCCAGCGAAAGGTTGTTGGTGGGACCAGCGGAAGAAAAAAGGTCATAATAAGAAAAGTCAGCACAGAACCAATTTAAAATTACATATAAAGACAACAGTTAGAATGGTTCGTCCACTTTAAGAGAATGCCCTGTGACGCCATCCTAAAACAAGGTATACATGAAACTGGGAATAGGACGTAAATTACAAGGTAGACCAAGAACAAGATAGAAAGATAAGGTCAGAGAAACTCTACAACAGCACAACGTGTCTACGGTCGAGGCGGTCAGAAGTTAGAGAAGCAGAACCTTATATCCCAGTTGACAAAAAAGGAAGCCAAGAAGAAGCGAATAAGAAGGATACAGACATACAGAAAAATAGACAGAACGACACACAGATAGACAAACAAAACAGATAGAAATACAGGCAGGCAGACAGATAGAAAGACATCCATGTTATATATTTATATATATATATATACAACACATATCTTTATTTTCTTTCTGTCTACAAAGGGGAATCTTCAGACAGATTCATGTTTTTCAACTGCGCCCACAACACGCCAACAAAACGGAAATGCTGTCATAAAGACATCAATAAAAATTAGGAGCGGAATGCAAAGAAAACAAAGCGACAGCAAAAAATACAGACTGCCCTCAAAATCTTCCACTAGATGTCCAGACACCAGACTGTGCATTTTATTCATGACACATGTGTTTGTATTATGTCATCTGCGGTGATAGAGAGTCCTCGTCTCTTTGGCCAGTCGGTTAATACAGAGGCAAAATGCCCACAATATGGTAATTAGAAATATGTATGATTTGATTGCTCGAAAGCCATAGAGATAAATCATTGACTGGTAGTGGTTGTGCATTGATATGCAGACAGACGGACATTTTTTCAACACTTCTTAACAGACACGCCGAATGGGTGTGCAAGTGGGTGTGCAAGTGGGTGTGCAAGTAGGTGAAATAAAAGTGTGTAAACGGAGTGCCATAAGTGTCTTTAGGTGCGACCCCAATAAGAAAACGCTGAGATGGGTGTGGGCTGGATTAAGGGGGAGGGGTGGGAGGGATCCTTATATAATTTTCTGCGGAGGGTATCAAGGTACTAAATCATATTCAGCTGTGCAATAATAATAATAATAATTTTATTATTAGCGTTTACCGAATGGCGAATAAGTACAATAGTATGTATGAAAAAAGTGTAAAACGTATAAAGGCCTGAAATAGAACGTCTATACTTGAGGTAGGAGGGATCTGCTCCCAAAAAGTTATGGGGTGGAAGTAGGGGGGGGGGGGGGAGCGATGTCGACTAGATCTTCTGGTCACTGCCTGATGTTCCACCCTATCCAAATCACAATGATGTATTATAATGTGCCTCCGCGTTCTTCACTGTCTCCCACTTGTTGAGTGTTGTTGAGTGCTGAGTGGTGTTGAGTGCTGAGCGGTGTTGAGTGCTGAGTGTTGTTGAGTGCTGAGTGGTATTGAGTGCTGACTGGTGTTGAGTGCTGAGCTGGTTCTCAGCCAGCGGACAGCTGCTGTGACTGCCTCCACCTCCATTCTCAAACTAGATATAGTATTATAAATTAAACCTTGCAACACTAAGCTTCGTCCATCCGCTTTCAAAATTAACTTAAAGCAAACACCTCGAAGACATAGCAAGTTGTTTTGCCTCGCACGGCGAAGGTCGTGGGCTCGTTTCGCAGACTGCGTCGTTCAGTTCGCTGGAGACATTTTCAGAGATCGGGGATCGTCGTTGGAGCTACGTAGTTGACGTTTTATGCGAAGCTCTCTGTAGACTACTAGCCTTTATGAGAGAAGAAACTAAACCACAGGGGATACAGTCCGAGGTAATTATGAATGTCCTGACTGTAGACATGCAAACAAATTGTACTGGTATTCTCATAAAAACCAGCCGCCGTGGTGTAGCGGCTAGACGCTAGCCTGAGGATCTAAAGGTCGTAGGTTCAGGTCCTAACGGAGCCAAACATTTAAAACAAAAATTATCTTTGTTCCCAGGTCGACTCAGCCTTAAATGGGTACCAGGTAAAGTCCTGGGAAGTAAACGCGTTCGGCGTGATGTTGACCACATCAATGACCACCTGCCGATTTGTCTATAAAATATAGGTCTAGCCATATATGCCAAATACGTCTGACTGCGAGGAAAAGGGTCCTTAAAAAAAAATATCAGAGAAAACATGAATGGAAATACCCGATGTCAATTGCTCAAAGTATTTATGCGTCTATCCAGACATGAAAGATTCTTCATATTGAGTGCTTTTGTGAAAGATTTTGGACACACGATGCCAAAATATATGTTTTATGTTGAAGGAATAAGTGAACCTTTTTGATACCAAAGAAATTATCCCAAGCGAGCATGTCGTTATATTCTTAAAAAAAAAAAAAATGGGGGGGGGGGGGGGGAAATCTAATCCTAAGAATGAAAAAAAAAAAAAAAAGGGAAAGAAAACAAACACTACAATTATTTTTTTGCTATATTATTTGTGTTTCTGTAGTTTTTCCGTTAAACGACGTCATGTTCTGACATGATTCAAGACAACCTTTGTGTCAGCCTAGCGGGTAACTATAAAAACAAATACATCTGTTTGAGATGACATTCACAGATATGAAAATATTTACTTTTCTCGGAATTTGTATATGTGAGTCCAAAAATAATACTGGCTTTTTACAAATGGGGTGGTATTTTACGCCGTTCTGGTGGGACAGAAACAGACCGGTAAAATATATATATATATATATATATATATATATATATATATAATGTGAAAGAGAAAATGTCTGCATTAATAATGTACTCTTATTGTCCAAAATGATAGCTCCATCTCAAAATGTACAACTCAAATTTCAGAAAGCACAGCGCTTTTTTCCGGGTTCAGTGCAGCTTCACCCATCACATTCGCACACACAATCATTGAATCTTCAAATACAGCAAGTGGTCTTTATATGTGTTTGATGGACAAACAACATCACTCAGATCAGACGAATTGCCGTCTCCGTAATGTAAATCGGCTACAATTATTCTTCGACTTTTCTGTTGACATAATTACAATTTGGAATAATTTACAAGTAATCATGTTTTTCTTGAACGTAATATACAAATTGTTATTTCTCTCCGGTAGCAGTTGATATGTATCAATGCCTTATGTATCAGCAGCCACATGAAGATGATATTTATCAGCGGTTCTCGGTCTGCCGGTCGAGACCATTTTGGGGGTAGAAGGACCCTTTCACAGGGGTCGCCTAGGACCATCGGAAAACACATAGGAAGGTTGAGAGCCACTGATGTTGATTATCATGAGCATCGTGTAGCAGGTCCTTTGCAGAACGTCGCTCTCATCACGGTCTGCCTGAAAGAAACTCGGTCTCCAGCCTCGTGTACTTTCATACTCAAGAAGTCACTTATATCCTGTGTCCATCTTCGTGTTGGTCGGCCCCTGAACTTCCTTCCTGGTACCATGCCTTCTGCTATATTTTTTTAATAATCCGCCATGACTCCTAATATGACCAAAATATGTCCGCTTATGAGACACTACAACTGCTGTTTATTAGCCAATCTTCCTTGATTTTCAGATCTTTCCAAATGTTGGCATTTCTATAAAAGATAACTGCACATTAGCCCTGTGTATCCATATTATAAGTTTAATCCCTTCTGTCTCATAATCTCCTGTGTAACTCCTGCACACATGAACGCGTACTACTTTCAAGAAAAGCTTCTCAAGAAAGAAGCAGTTAATGTAACAACTATATGGGAATGAATAAGGTAAAAGTTAACAAATGTGTTTTCATACACTCACCTTTCTCCTCGATAACACGTCTTTCAGCGGTTCTAGCTGCATCCACCAGAGAATGAACAACACTGTTGAATGTGGTCACCAAGGATTCAAAGTCTGAAAACCGTTGGTCTCCAATCAGCGGCAGGAAAGGAGTGTTCATGTCGGTCACGCTTGGTCTGTCAAGGACCTTGCTTTTGTTGTAGTCTTCGCTGTTGTTGCTGTCGTCTGTGACTGGGGAAGAAACGACCCAATGATGATGATGATGGTAACGATACAAGGATCCGGTGTCGGTATCATGCTTACATACTAACTGGCACACCCCAGCACAGACCACCTGCATCGGCGACCGGGGTGCCCATTGGCTGGCCGAAGGAAGACTTCGTCGCCTGTCTGGACAGTATTTGGATCTGTCTCCTTTGATCGTATCAACACTGCAAGAGTCATTTTGATGGCTACGTGGTGGCGAGCAGTGCTAAGCCATTTTCCATGGCACTCACAAACCTGGTCACAATTACAACCAAAAGCTCCCCCTTCAGAGGATGCTTGTTCAACATGAATATTTTTTTAATCGCAAAGCAATATCCTGAAGAATTTTTTGCCCACACACCTTCCGGCACGTTGCGTGTGCGTGTCTAGCCCTGTATTGTCTGTTCTTTTTAGAATACCTTTTATAAATATATACAGCATATATAGTACAATTATGCCAGACATTCTACTACTGCTTCTTCTTCTTTTGTGTGCACTCTTTAAAAAATGCAATTGACACGTTTTATTTTAGTTTACATCAGGATATCTTTGCCTTTCGGCATAGTATCTTATTTTAGCTAATTCTTAATAAGTCACCTTTTATGGCATGCCTAATAAAGAGCAAAGGGTAAATTACCCACCCCTCCCAACACCACCTCCCCCACTGCACAAACACACACACACACACACACACACACACACACACACACACACACAAACGGCTTCCGGAATCCATACGGGAAGTGCCTAACAATAAATTGTGAAATATATTGTTTATGACTTTTTTGTTTAAACTGCCAACATGGAAACATTGTTATGATCTTACATTTATGTCGTTTGTCCTCATCAGACACCACATCCTCGTCCACATTGCACTCATCATTGTCATCATCATCACTTGCCAGAACTCCCGATTCTCCTTTCACCTGCAGATTCAACGGCTTACCTGGAAGGGGGAAAAAATTTGGTTGTAATAAACTGCATTTAATTTCCACAAAAATAAAAAATAACAATAAAATAACAACAAAAATAATTTTTTTTTTTTAAATTAAAGAACATTTATGCAAGATTTCTTTATCACTGGAAGCTAAAAAAAATAAAAAAATTATGTCATACTATAAAAATCCAGTTGTATCATATGGCTGTAACAATAAACAAGTCAAACAATTTCTGGAAATCTCGGAAATGTGGTTTTACAGAGGAATTCTTAGAATTTCTTGGAAAGCCAAAAAGACAACCCGGATGTCTTGAAAGAAGCCGGGAGTCGAAGGAAACAAACATCAGAAAGAGGCAAGTATAATTCTGGGGTAATTTTATGAGAAAAAAAAAAAAAAAAAAAAGTGACCACTGGAAGTATCTGTGGAAAATCGAGACATAGAAAGACAACACGAGAAGATCCTTGACATCCTATTGTCATGGCAAATAGGGTTCTCAGCACACAAAAGGATACATGCTGTTAAATATTAGAGACTGGGGAGAGGTATGATAGTCCACATCATTCAGCAAGGCGCTTGATAATGATGATAATGATGCTGGCGGTGATGATATCGACATTGATGATTATGATGATGATGAGGATGATGATATGATGCTGGAACTGATGACGACGACGATGATAATGATGATAAGGATGATAAGGATGATGATGACGATGATGATGACGATGATGAGGATGATGATGATGATGATGATGATAGTGATGATGATGATTAGGATGCAAATAACAAGATAATCCAAACAGAAAATATGAGGGTTTGATTCAAGTAAAGTCAAAGAAGAGAACCGCGGTAGTGTAGGGAGTAGACTTTGCCTAGCTGCCCCGTAGTTCTTGAGTTCGAATCTGAATCAATGGATTTTGGTTCCCCCAAAACTGACTTTAATATCCCAGGTCGACTTAGCATAAAATGTGTATGCGGTAATGCTCTAGGAAGTAAAGGCGGCCGGTGTGATGTTCACAACATCACCCACTAAAGACTGCTTTGTAAAACACGAATCTGGCATCATATGTCCAATGCGTCACTGGCGGAAAAGGGATCCTAGGGATCGTAGTTTTAGTAAACGTAGTCCAGGTTTTGATTTCACTGCAGGCGTTCCCCTCATAGTTGCCAGTGATAATAAAAAGAAGGGTCTCCCAATATCCCATTTTAAAACTAGTTAAGCAACACTTAGTCCCGGCAAAATCCTGAAATAAGCACATGCAGTAATTGCACAAGGCAGCTGCTAGAAATGTGTGTGCATTTTTTATGCTGATGAAGGCTAACTAGCAGCAACGTTCATTTCGCCATTAAGGATTGCATTTTATAAAGAGGTTGACAAGTTCTACTTTTCGTGTAGACTGATGTCTTCTTCCTCTTATTTGTTCACTAGATGTAAGCTCCTGAGGAATATCCTGGTTGTTCGTCCATTTGGACTTTGGCTTTGTGCCAGGGCCTGAGTTCTGTCTGTACGTCGGTTTTACTGGCTTATTTGTGTGCAGCTGGGGAGGCAGCGGGTCTATTATTTGGGGCCCCAGAAGGCACACATCGGGTGAGACTAATTCGCTTTAACACTTTCGCAACCAGAATCTTTTACAAGAGAGACCAAAGTCAAGATAAAAACAATGATGAAAATATCCTGAATTCTTGACTTAAAATGGCAGTTTACGCAGCAGCAGTGACCATGTGGGGAGGCCTGATTTACTTAGTATGTCATGGCCATATATATATATATATCATCTTTCGTGTGCCGTTAGACGTCAAATTGGACTCGCATTCGATTCCTGGACTCCGTGCTATTACATGCAACTGTATTGATTTCGGACAAGGGTTTCAACCCAGCATTTTTAGCCTCTCAATGTTTCCCCTGGACGTCCTCTTTTTTTTTTTTTTTCTCAGATCTTTTGTTTCCTTTTTTAGTGCTTGTTTTGTAATTCTTTGCTAATTTCGTCTCAAAGTGCGTCCAGTATATCTATACTTCCTTTGTCTTGTTGCGGTCGATTCAAGTATTTGTCCAGATATTTCTTTGAGCTTCTTGTTTAAAAAAAAATATTCAATTCATTTTATGTTCATGATTTTTCTTAGACATTTATTTTTAGAAGTTTTTATCTCTTGTTCAATATCTTTGGTAGTTCGCCAACTTTAGCTTGAAATAATGTTAGAATTGAAGATTCATAGTTTGGTCTGAAAGCTGTATAACTTAGAACTCATATTTGTAAAGGATTTTAAAGACTTGTGTTGCTTTGCCAATGCATATCATAATTTCCTTGGTTGAATTTCCTTGAGAGTCAAAAATGCTACCAAAAAAGGTGAAATGTTCCGCTACTCTTATTGGCTGGTTCTCCATCACGACATCTACGTGATATGTTGTTCGTATATTTAATATGTTTGTTTTCTTATATATATATATAAATCACAACACATGGCGACAGAGTCCCAATGTGCATCCTATATGGTGAACTGACAATGGGTAGAAAATGTTGAGGCTCGCCTCTACAACTAGAAAAATATATGTGTGCAGGTGCGACATGAATGATACAGGTATTGAGGGGCACACCAGAAAAGGAATGAGAATGAAGGAAGAAATTACTGCAAGATGAGAGCTGAGCGTTTGAGAAGAAGCAGACTAAACACAAATGTTGACAACGGTGTTGACATTCCATGCTATAATTAGGGAAGACTTTTCATAACGCGGGTGGGTCTTGCCCCTCTACACAACACAGTCTCTGGCATTTCCACGAGTCCGCCTCAATACCTGTATCATTCATGTCGCACCTGCACACACATTTTTTATAGGTGTATAGGCGAGCGTCAACATTTTCTACCCATTTTCAGTTCACCATAGAGGATGTCCATAGGGACTCGGCTCCTATATAAACATAAGAGGACACATTATGCAAAATCAAGGGTAGATTCATTAACACATCAGGCCTCGCACGGAACTGAATGAATGAAAGATTATAATAACAGTACAATGGAGAAAAACAAACATCACACCTGAACTACAGACACAAAGTATGTATGTTTGTAAGTTTTACAACACCAATACATCACACAGGCGATAAACACCCGGTGACACAGAGTGCCACCATGCGGATGAGGATCACCAGTGGAGAGGTCCCAGAAAGACGGCTAAATTCAGGGCGTCCGGCAAAAGCCAGGGTGGGGCTTCAAATAATGAGAAATTGCATCCCAAATGGGGACGACTACCATTATGTATTTGCAGACACAAAGGCACCAAGCAGAACTTACAGCACTGTTCCAACGGTGACAGACCCTGTGGTAATCTTGCATCCATTGCCGACAATCTATTATACGTTCCCAGCATTGGTAGAGTTCCATCATCCGACCTGCATATATACACATACACATGAATAGATAACCAAAAAACTATAACAGATAAAATTAAAAAAAAAAACACACACACGAATAAATTAGGCGCATCTGCAAAAGAGATGAAGTTGATAGATTGATCCGTTAAAAAAGGGAGACAATAAGAACAAGCAAATGTACTTTAAAAGCTTAAAATATCCTGGCATCAAAAGTTATAAGATAAAGAAAGTTGAGAAAACAGAGCAGATAATCAAACATCACATCCCATCACATCACATCACACACACACACACACACACACACACACACACACACACACACACACACCTACACCCAACCCACACCCACCCCCACACACCCCCACACACACTCACACACTCTCTCTCTCACACACACACACGCACACAAAGGCATTGACATAGGAAGTGAAGGGTCAAAGGACGCGAAAACGTCCCAAAGAAACCATAAAACGAACTAAAATGAGAGAGGCCAGAGGTGCTGGACTGAAACTCATCCATGTTATTAGATTAATTCCCGTGCCAATATGGGGCGCATTTTGTTTGTAAATTTCAAACCACCCCCAGGTGTCGCTGGGGGCCCTAACAAAACCTAAGGATTAAACTAGGTTTCTGGGACTTGCGTCTCATTCAAATGGTAACACTTTGTGACACTGGGAGTTTTTCGCGAGGTGTACGCTCCTGCGGGGGTTGAACGTCAGTTAGTCTCCATAACATCAAAAGGATTGCACAGGATAGAAGGAAATGGAGGAATAGACGGCGTGCCCTTCGTGACATACTATGACTGAAAAGGACAATGATTAGCATGAGGAAAGCTTAAACAGCATGCCAACAGTTTACAGAATAAACGTAACAAATGGCACTACAACATCCTAGGACAGAGAATTAGTAGTAGTAGTACATTTTACATCACTAGGACATCACACAAGCGATAAACACCTGATGACACAAAGTGCAACCATACGGACGAGGATCATCCGTGAAGAGGTCCTAGAAACCGCGTTCAGCCATTAGGCCAGATTTATGACCGGGCTATATTGCGGTCCCTGGTAAGAGCCAAGGTGGGGTTTCAAAATAACGAAAAATTGCGTCCTGCAAGGTGATGGCTAGATAACACAAAGGACAGAGACGAGAGCTGGCGAGTCATGATCACAATTCAGGCCTCAGGAAAACGCTTCAAAAAATTAGAAAAAGTAGACTGAGATAAAGGATACAAGTTTCAAAGTCAGGATGGATCGACTTCATTGTAGGAGGTTATATCCCACATGGCTAGATCTCTCTCCCCAGAAAGGCTGGCCTTCACTTTAGAAAATTATATGCAACATGAACATCGTAGCTCCAGCAATGATCCCCTAGGATATCTGTAAATATTGTATTCGTTTGAGCGAAACGGCCCAGTTAATAAAAGAAACCACAATTTTCAGATTATAAGACAAAGCGAAACACCCGCCTGAGACCCAATGCTAAAATAAAACTTCAAAGCAGAAGCATAGAAAGAGGAAGTAAGAAGGGGAAGGAGGACGAAGAAGAAGGAGAAACAGAAGAGGTTGGACTCCGGGGCCACAGTGTGGGTAAACCAAGAAAAGAGCTACAGCCTCCTCAACAAACATGTCGTAGGAGTCGTCTAACTAGTAGCATGCTTCGAATTCGGAGTACATTTGCCTGAGAAGCCAGGAACCAAGAGTCTGTATACTAATAAGCCAGATCTGTAAAAGGGATGTGCAAGCAACACGCAGGTTCTGCAACAAGAAAACAAATTTGGAGGTGCTCGAAGACACAGAACTTCCCTCTGGAGGTGCTCGAAGACACAGAACTTCCCTCTGGAGTTGACAGCTGGCGAAAGCTAAGAAGAAGCTGCCGAAGCAAAGTAGAAAAATGTATTACAACCCCCCCCCCCCCCCCCTCCGCAGCTTTTCCAATAATAGTTTTTGCGGACATGATCATTGTGTGCTATGACGATAATCGTGGATGGTCATCGTTCACCATCTGGTGATCTCAGACCACACCTGCTGCTGCAGATCAGGAGATAAAAAATAGTTATCTGAACTCACTTCGTTGGCATTCTTCTTGAAGCTGCACTACTGCTGTTGCTGCCTGTTTGGGGGACCAAGCATGCAGGATGGACATCCTCGTGAACCCTCAGGGCCATGGGCTGCATGATGTGGTGCATGCTGAAGAGGTTGGAGAAGTGGCTGATGGTCGGGTACCCTCCGACTCCTGGCGCGGTTTGCATGTGACGGTCACGATCTGTTTAAAGCAGCATGGAAGAGAATGGTTGTTAGTTTAGACTAGACTGATCCATTGAATCTACATTAACACGGTTAGTTTTAAGGAAATAGAAAGCAGCCAGCAACATGTTACCGGACCCCTCATGGAAAGCAAAGAAGATCAACACTGCCCCCACCCTACCAGGGATGTTGTAAGTGGCGATTAAGGGAATTTGAAAAAATCGCCGCTTAAAAAAAAAACCCACCACTTCTAAAAAAAAATATTTAAAAAAAAGCCAGATGGTTAGTTTTGTTCCTGTGTTCTTTTTTTTAGTTCTGACACCAGTAGCCTACAGTTGATATGAAAACTAAAGACATGCACACACACACACACACACACACACACACACACACACACACACACACACACACACACACACACACACACACACACACACACAAATATTTAAAACTGTTAATCTTTGAATCAGGTTCAGCTGGCACCATCAATCTGAAACTTTTCCAAAGCCTGCTGAGGTAGTTGACGGAACACGTATGGAAATTTTCCCAGTGCAGTGATGTCAGTTCTGGATTCATTCATCAATATAAACACACATTATTTGATGATGATCTTTTTATCCTACTTCGTGGCGTTCAAAAGCTGTACATTTTTGTGGATAGTTATAGCTATTCATCGACTCCTAGACTGTGCTCTGTTTCTAGAACTTAAGGTGGCCTGCACATCCGTTTTACAGATCTGGCTTTTTTTTTTAGGCAGACTACTGGCTCCTACGAGATTGCTGTTGGATAGGGGGTGGGTAGTTCAGTTGCCCTATTCCTGGTTTTGCAAAATGAACACGCAGAGCCCTCACGATGATGATGATTTTGATGATGATGATGATTTTGATGATGATGATGATGATGATGATGAACGACATGATAAATCAGTCAAAGATGTACCGTAAATGCCCTGACTGTAGCTCATATCCGCATTGATTTCCTCGCGTCGCCTTTTCAGATTCTCTAGAACATCTGCCTGAACAGGGAACACGGAGTTGACTCGCTTGGCTGGTCGTCCCGGCCGGGCACTAGAAATGAGTTAATGTTAGTTGCAGAACATTGACATGATCGTGTAATCCAATCCTATCATTTATTCACTGCAGGGTCCTAGGAACCAGTGAGGATCAGTACACTGGGAGCATCTCCCCCCCCCCCCACCTTTCCAGTTCCCACCTAAGCTGTCTCTCCCCTCCTCCCTCACAACGTCCAATCATGTATAAAGGTTCTCTTTTCAATGTTTGTTGTTATGGATGTTGTATTCCTTACGTCCTTCTTAGGACGTTATTTTTTGTTATTTGAAGCCCCACTCTGGCTATTGCCAGGGGCCGCAATATAGGCAGGTCATCATTATGGCCAAATGTTTGAACGCGGTTTCTGGGACCTCTCCACGGTGATCCTCATCTGCATGGTGGCACTTTGTGTCATCGGGTGTTTATCGCTTGTGTGATGTCCTGGTGGGGTAAAAAGCCAATCCAATCCAATGTTTGTTTCTACATACCATTTTTTCTAAACATCATTAAAAGACTATATGGTTAAGATCAAACAAGGAAACAAAAGTAAAAAATCTGAGTGCATTTAGCTTTGCTGTAGAACGTATAAATGTGAGTGGTCGACTATCTCGCAGTCTTTAAGAAAAAACACTAGGCTCCTTAGAATGCAATACTACAGAAAGATTCTCAGAATACCGTCGACAAAGAAGAGAAGAATTAGTGACATCCGGAAAGATCTGAAAATCAAGGATGATTGGTTAATAAACAGCCACTTGTCTCTGAAAATGAAATATTTTGGACATATCAAGCGCCAGGCCACGGCGAAATAGAATAACTAATATCGGAAGGAATGGTGCCAAGGAAAGACAGGGGCCGATCAGCACTAAGATTGTTACAGGACACTAATTATTACCTTGGATAGGAAAGTGCACGAGGCTAGAGAGCTGGTTTCTTTCAGGCAGATCGTGAGAAGAGCGAGGTTCTGCAAAGGGCCTGATACATAATGTTGACGACACGTCGTATCAGTTCAAATATATTAGTGGCATGTAAGTAAAGTAAAGTAAAGGACCCTTTTCCACGCCTTTAGGCGTATAGGGCATATAGGGGTAGACCTATATTTTTATAGACCAATCGGCACAAGATGGGTGATGTGGTCAGCATCACACCGGTCGCCTTTACTTTCCGGGACTGCACCCGGTACCCACTCAAAGCTGGATCGACCTAAGAGCCAAGGTGATTTTTGGAAAAGTTTGGTTCCGCCAGGGAGCGAACCCATGATCTTCCGATCCACGGCGAGCGTCTAGCCGCTCGGCCACGGCGACTCCCATACTGGCATGTACATAATAATAATAATAATAATAATAACAACAACAACAACAAAATAATGCTTAGTTCTCGTGAGTCGCTGGCCCCAGAGTACTTGTTCCTCCCCCAACCCCGCCACCCTCACACTTGGCAATGTTATGCTCAATAGTCTGTCAATCGTTTAACGAAAAATGGTTAGTTTATTGTCACCTACAGCATATAAAGCTAGACGCATATGTTAATAGACCAGTCGACACTTGTTAGGTGATTTCTTGGTATCCACAAGATTGAGCAGCTGCCAACCAAAAATAATGGTCTGTTATTAATCAACAGTTGGACATATTGAGATGCCATCGAGTGGTGATTAAAAAAAAAAAAACACATACAGACTGGGTGGGATTATGCTTTGGTTCAGCATGTGTGTAATGATTTGAAAAATCAACGTCACATTCTAAACATGTTATTTAAGCTAAACTCGTGTCTTCTACCAGCGTTCGCTTATAAATGGTCTTCAGAGTGTCTCCTTGGTCCCAAAAAAAAAAAAAAAGTGTTCCGTAGCTATGACTTCTGAAGCCAATAAATCTACTGTTTATTCCTTGGCACTTCTGCATGTCTCGGACAGTATATCTACATAAGCTCCCTGAAATATTGACATTATGATGATAAATATCTACTCATGCGACATTCGTCCATTCTGAACCTAAAGCAGTTTACACTGATGAGAATCAGTCACCTAATTCTTCTGGTAACTCTTTGTTGTTGTTGTTGTTGCTGATGTTGTTTAAATATCCATTTCAGAGCTGCAGTGATTGCCTCCACCTCGATTCTTTGCCTAAACCTGTAGATATATAATTCCAGTTTTGCTCCGCCGCCATCTTTCCCTGCACTCCCCGCCCAAATTACCAGAACCATCCCATTATTAACGGAGAGGAGAGGCTTGTCAAGCACTCATAAAACAGGTCTTTCGTTCTGGAGATGAAAACTGAATCATCGTTAACATGCTCATGTGGTAAATATTATTCATAGTTTATGGTTATACAAAGCATCAAAATCATGGAACAAGGGTAGTAATCCATAAGTGCTCTGTTTTACTTTAAACTCAAGCCTGAGTCCGAAGCTTCGTAGCACCGGTGAGGATCCTGAAATGCTTCTGGTAGATTTTGAACTCAAAATTTAACTGGGCAGCGCCGTTTGCCTACTTTTTACGATTTCCAATTCCAAGGTATTTTTTTTTACGTGCGCAGTAATACATACGGGCGTCCGATCTCCCTACCCAGGGACCAGGGAAAATTACTAGAAGTCCAAGTACAAAAATCCTAGCCTTCACCGGGGCCTGAACCCAGGACCTCCAGCACATGAGGCGGACGCCATGCATCAAGACCACTCAGCCTCAGGGGTAAATATATAAGTGGTTAGAACAGATTCAGAAGAAGAGATATGTTTAACGAATACCGGCATCAGAGAAATAGTCGGAACAAGACCATATCAAGATTATATTGTCAGACAAAGAATGAAATGTTCGGCCGTCTAGTGAGAATGCAGCCAGACCAGATGTATATGAGACTTTTTACAGTAGAACATGTTTGCGGAAGGCGAGGGGAAGCCAAGAAAGATGGATAAATGGTGTATTTGAAACTTGCAAAAAGTTGGACAAATCCTTCACCAAAGCCACTTGAGAAGCTGAAGACTAATATAGGAAACCACGACACTGGGCTACAACCTGGAATCAGTGAGACGACAAAAGAAGAAGAAGCAGAAGAACAGATTTTCATGCCATTTTCTTCTTTGATCCCTCCATCCTTATCGAAGCTATACTGCGAGATCCAAATTGTTTATTGTCACTGGTTGAGAGCCCCTAGGGACATCCTTTCTGGTGAATTAAAGACAGGAAGAATATGTCGAGGCCGACGACTACTACGGTATAATGATGTGTGCAAGCGGGACATGAATGATACAGGTATTGAGGTGGACTCATGGGAACAAAATGCCATGGAACGTGTTGTGTGGAAAGGGCATATCAGGAAGGGAATGAGAGTGACGGAAGAAATGATCGCAGAAAGGATGAGAGCTGAGAAGAAACGGATTAAACACAAATGTTGACAACAATGGTCCTGAACTCCCATGCTATCATTGTGGAAGACTTTTCTTGACAAGGGCGGGTATTGCTAGTCACACTTGGCTGTGAGTTTAATTCCTCCTCATAACGCAATATAACACTATCGTCTGGAAAGACGGAAAGGTGCCAATCAATCAATGGTTGAAGTGGTCATCATAACGCCGGTCGCTTTTACTTCCCCCTGAAGACATTTTCTATTTCTTTTTAAATTGTAAACAGATTCTATTCTCAAACAGGCATCATATTCCAAGCAAACAGTTCATGGAAACAAATGACAACATGAGTTGACAAGACGGACACCAAAAGGCAACAATGAAATATTCAGTGTATCAAATAAAATCTCCAAAAGCCACTTTCTTCCATCATTCGCGCCATTGTCCGTTTTCCTCAATGTGTTAAATTTATTCACCCAGCTACTTAAAAACTCGTCTGCTGTCATGTTTTTACGAAACGGAGAAAACCAGCGCCCAGTGATACAATGGCCGAACATGAAAGAGGACAAACTGTTCTTATAGAATTATTGTCAGCATGGCGGTTATGTGTGTCACTCAAGTTGACGACAGTTGTCATTCTTTCACATTCTGTGACCATTTTATTTGGGTTTCTAGCTTTCAAGTTGTTAAATTGTGGTTGTTGCGGGTAGAAAGATATCTTCATTTACATAACAATAAAATGTCGTTTGTTGATCAAAAGAGTTCGCATTGACAGTGATGTTCCTAACTTCGCTGTCTGTGTTTGTTACACCGAAGCTGCGATAATTGGGCCTTTTATACGACAAATCAGTTTGGTTTCGTTTTCAAGAAGGTTCTGGCTACAAGTAGTCTGACTATTGAGGTCATAGCCGTGACCAAAAAAGTGACATGGATGGAGACGCAAATTTCACCAAAGCATGCTTTCTCAGTGACTCAGTGAATGTGTTCAGGAAGACAGAGATAATGGGCTGGGTCCAAAGACAGTGGTCTGGGTCTCTGAAGCAGTTGGGGCTGACAAAGATCAGTTTTACTGTCGTCCCAGCCCGGTTCTCTAGCGTAGTTGGCTAAACCGGATTGTGCGGTGACCGGGTGACGAACTCCTTGTGGTCCGGGTTTACTCCCGGGGGTAGGTAGAAAAGCCATATTTTCTCCCAGATTTACGGTATGAAACAAAGCGAAAGGTTGCAATATCCATAATACCGAAATTAAGGGTTAACAACTCATGGCTTCTGGATACTAAAACAAACAAACAAACAAACTGTCGTCCCAAGGCACGAAAACATTCAAGGAGGGGAGCAAGCTGGTAGGTTTGCATGTACGGCTATCGTGGAGGATAGACGTGCCATGGACCAGATGCTCTACGAGAACTAAGGCGTTGTAGAGAACAAAATGACTGTGAATCTGCAACTATGAACTGACTGCAAGAACAGCAAGTTAAAAAGAGCATCGTCAGACAAGCACTATGCATGAAGCCAAAGAAGAATTAGAAACCAACACAGAACTGGTGACGTCAGCAGCAACACGCTGTGTGATTTACTGAGGGGGTGGGAGGTGTGGCGTTGGAGGTGGGTGGGGGGCGGTCGTAGCAGTTATGAACTGAATGATTCTATGCACAATGAGGATAACTTGTCGACTATGTCATAATC